CTCTCTCACTAATCTTTCTCCTCTTTCTTCTTCACTTTCTCTTCTGTTCGAACCTGAAATTCCTTAGTGCCCAAGACTGTTAGCAGTCTTGATCATCTTCAAAGTGTATCTATGAAAATTATAAGTTGGAATCTGAGAGGGTTGGGGAGTGTAAGAAAGAGGAGACCTATAAAGGACTTACTGAAGAGGGAAAAACCTGAAATTGTGATGTTGCAAGAGACAAAATTGTCAGAAATGGAAGGAAGGTGGGTGAGAAGTTTTTGGAGATCAAGGAGAGCAAGCTGGTCTTCAGCTCTGTCATGGGAAGCATCAGGGGGTATTGTCACAGTGTGGAAGGATGAGGTAGTAGAATCAGTGGAACAACTGATAGGTAGGTTCTCGATCTCGATCAAATTTAAGAATGTGAAGGATGGATTCATTTGGGTGTTAACTAATGTTTATGGCCCTAACAATTATAAAGAAAGAAATGAACTATGGGAGGAGTTGTCTGCCATACAAGGTTTATGGGATGGTCCCTGGTGCCTAGGAGGGGATTTTAATGTCATAAGATTCTCTGAGGAAACAAGTAACCCTTCTCAATCAACTACAACAAGCATGAGGAAGTTCAATGGTTTTGTAGAAGAGTGCAAACTAAAGGAAATCCCTTTGTTGCAAGCTAGGTTCACTTGATCTAACTTTCAAGAAAACCCCTTATGCTCAAAATTGGATAGGTTCCTTTTCAACCTAGCTTGGGAAGGTCACTAGGGAACCTTGGTGTCCAGAGCCCTACCTAGGGTCAATTCTAACCATTGCCCCATTAAGATAGGTGTGGAGTCGTTTTTTATTGGGCCTAGACCATTTAGATTTGAAAACATGTGGTTAACGTAACCAGATTTTGTGGAAAAAATAAAGGAATGGTGGAATAAAGAGCTAAGGGGGATAAAGTGGAAGGGGATAAGATTTCATAAGAAGCTATGGTTAAGATTCAAGCTGAAGGAGTGAAATAGGGACCATTTTGGTAGAATTGAGGAACAGAAATTGAGTCTAATATCTCGGATTGAGGAATTGGATGAGAATGAAGCTCAAAGGATAATGAATGCACATGATAGGGAGATAAGAAATCAATTAAAAAAGGACTTAGAGGTTGGCGTAGTTAGAGAGGAAATTTGTTGGAGACAAAAGTCAAGACACCGGTGGATTATGGAAGGTGATGGAAACACTAGATTCTTCCATGATTTGGCAAATGGAAGAATGTGGAAAAAATTTGTGGCCAAATTAGAGGTAGAAGGGGAGGTGATTACAAATCAGGACGAAATAGCCAAAACCTTCATGACCCACTTTATGTCCATTTATAAAAGGTCTTTGAATGAAAATTGTCTATGGAAGGGTTGGATTGGCCATGTTTGGGAGAAGAGAAAGTGAGGTGGTGGAAAGAAGTTTTGAAGAAGCTGAAATCAAGAAGGCAGTGTTCCTGATGGATAGATCTAAGGCACCTGGACTAGATGGATTTACTATGGCATTTTACCAAGACTGTGGGAAGTACTAAAGGATGATTTGGTTGAGGTTTTTAAGGAATTTGCAGATAATCACACAGTAAGCAGGGATGTCAATGCCACATTTCTCACCTTAGTCCCTAAGAAACCTGATGCTATTCACTCGAAAGATTTCAGACCAATTAGCTTGGTGATGAGCATTTACAAAATCCTAGCTAAGGTTCTATCTCTGAGGATTAAAGAAGTTACCCCCTCCTTAGTCAGCCAAACCCAAGGGGCCTTTGTACAAGGAAGACAAATAATTGACCAAATATTGATTACCAATGAAAGTGTGGAGGATTGAGATCTGATAGGAAAGGCTTTGTGTGTAAGTTGGATGTTGAAAAGGCTTACTACATGGTGGACTGGAAGTTCCTTAGTGAAGTCTTAAGAAACTGTGGCTTTGGTGAAAAGTGGTGTAATTGGATCTTAGGTTGTGTTAGTTCCTATCACTATTCAATCCTGGTGAACGGAGTGGTGAAGGATTTCTTCTCAGCTAGCCGGGGTATCAGGCATGGGGACCCTCTCTCACCTTTCCTTTTCACCTTAGTTGCTGATGTGCTTAGTTGTTTTATCTCTAAGGCTGATAAAGGTGTAGTTAGAGGGTGGAGAGTTGGTAGAAATGAGACCCCAGTTACCCATCTCCAGTTCGCAAATGACATATTAATCTTTTGTGGGGGGGATGAGATTGAAAGGGTGAGAAGTTTAAAGGTGCTGATTAGAAACTTTGAAAGTGTATTTCCAACTTGAAAATCAATTTTGAAAAGAGTTGCATTGCAGGGGTTAATTTGGAGTCAAGAGAAGTGGAGGATATTGCTGAGTGCTTAGAGTGTTCTATCTCTACTTGGCCTTTGACCTATTTGGGGCTTCCTTTAGGAGCAAATCCTCGGGAGAGGAGGTTCTGGTGCCCAATTGTAGAGAAATTTGAGAAGAGATTGGCTTCATGGAAAAAGAACTACATCTCTCTGGAGGAAGAATCACCTTAATAAGAGCTACACTTGCAAACCTTCCAACTTACTATCTCTCTGTCTTTAGGATCCCAACTAGGGAATTAATGAGAGACTTCCTTTGGGAACTAGGGGAACATAGGAAAAACCATTTAATTAAGTGGGAGGTGGTGTGTAGGAGTAAAGAGGAAGAGGGCTTGGGACTAGGGAACTTAATTCAGAAAAATACAGCCTTACTGGGGAAGTGACTATGGAGGTGGCCGTTAGAGAGAGTCAGGTTGTGGCATGAGGTGATCGGAAGCATACGTGGATGCTCACGGAATAGATGAGATGTTGGTATATCAAGGCAAGCAACCTTGGCAACCCCTTGGAAGGCAGTGCACAATATTCTTCCTCAGTTCCTCTTCATATCAGGTATGATGTGTATGATGGACTCCGTCCTCTTTTGGGAGGACATTTGGGTTGGATATGCTCCCCTGAAAACCCTTTTCCCCTCCCTATTCTTAGTTTCTCGATACAAAAAAGAGGCTGTTTCCAAATTTTTCTCCTCATTGGAAACCCCTTGGGCTCCTACTTGGGATTTTGGGTTCCGTAGAGGCTTAAGGGATGAGGAGATTGAGTGCTTAGTCAGTTTACTCTGCCTTTTTGAGAAAGTTTGTTTGAACCCCTTTGAACCTGACAAAAGAATTTGGATACCTCGATCAGAAGGATCTTTCTCTTGTGCTTCTTTTTCAAATCCCTTTATTGTTCTAACCCTCAACAGGCCTTCCCTGTTAAGGAAGTTTGGTGCAGACCTGTTCCCCCTAAGATTTTGGCATTCTGTTGGGAAGTGTACTATGGGAAAGTAGATACCTTGGATAATCTACAAAAGAGAAGACCTTTTTCTCTATATTTCCCCCACCTGGTGCATCCTGTGCAGATCTCAGAGTGAGGACTCTTATCATTTGTTAATTTCTTGTTCCTTTACTGCAGAGTTATGGGATTGGCTTCTCTCTTTGTTTGGGAGCAGTTGGAACTTGCCAGTAGATTTAAGACTTCTTTTTGATCCCTCTACTTTTGTTTGGCAACAGAAAACGGGTAAAATCATGTGAAGGTGTGCAAGAGCTGCATTGGTATGGACAATCTGGGAAGAAAGGAACGGTAGAACTTTTTTGGAGAAGGAAAGGAACCTTCAAGAGATAAAGGACTGTGTCTTGGTTAGGGTGATTCAGTGGCTGAAATCTTTGGACTTGTTTCACCAATTCTCCTTTAATGACATTTGGAGGAATTGGGCAGCAGTGGCATGTTGTTCCTCTTCCAAGACTAAAGTGAGAACAAGCTGGTCATCACCTCCTGCAGGCTTCTTGAAGTTGAATTTTGACAGAAGCAGTCTAGGAAACCCAGGTCCTTCTGGGTTAGGTGGGGTATTGAGGAATGAAGTCAGGAATGTGATACTTATCTTCTCAGGTCCTTTAGGAGTGGAAGACTCTACTAGAGCAGAAATGTTTGCTGCCCTGCAAGGTGTACAGTTTGCAGCTCAATTAGGGGTGAACCAGCTAATAGTTGAAGGTGACTCAAAGGTTGTAATAAGCTAGTTGCAGGACCCAGAGTCAGTAGTTTGGTGCTTCAGGAATGAAATTAAAAAGTTTAAGGTGCTGATAAGAAACATGGACCTAAGAATACAATGGGTGGGGAGATCAGAAAATGCTATGGCGGACTGTCTAGCCAAGCAAGGGGCAGCTAGGGAAGTTTTGTATTGGGCACAACTGTAACTAATTACTTTTGTTTTCTTCTTTAGTGGAGAGATTGAAGCTCATGCCTCTCCAAGGTCTGCTTGTATGTGCTAATATTTCTAAATTAATAAAAAGTTCATTTAACTATCAAAAAAAATAAACTTCAGTCAGAAGTTATGATTGGTATCCAAAGATGCTTACAGTGAAAAATAACAAAATTGGGAGAATGATAAAAAGAAAATCCAAAGCCAGCATAGCCATATAAATCCTCCAATCTCTGAAAACAACTGTTTCGCCATCTTTCTTCTTCAACACGGTCTCTGTACCATTTAAAGGATCTGGATAAAAGAAATATTCACATCTTACATCATTTGTCCAAAACAACCAATGTATGCATAGCATCACAAGAATCCATCCCCTAATCAGAGAACAGAATAGACCCATCAAATGCTTACATAAAGGAATTGCCACATCAAAATCAAAAAAATCTGAGTATCTATGAGGCTATGAGCTAATAGCTTAATCCTGATCAAGACAAAGATGGTTGACATAGGAGCATTTATTTTTCTCACCGATCAAAGAAGTATCCACATCTTGAAATGCACCGCAAAGGCAAAATGGTAAAAAGGAAAAAGAATAGAATGAGTACAATCTATGCTGATAAAATGCATCTCTAATTTAGACAAGAGCAGCATCATAGGCTTTCACACCCCTCAGCAGGTGTTGACTGAGCTTCAAGAAGCCCTGGGCTGAATTGAGGTGTGGCCGATCAATTACTTGGGACTCACTATTGGTGGAAATCCTAAAGCAGCAAGCTTCTAGGGGACGGTTATAGGGGTGTGAAAAAAAAAAAAAAAAAAAGACTTGAAGCCTAGAAAAGAAGCCATATCTCCAAGGGAAGAAAGCTTACCCTAACCAAGGCAACCCCATCTAACCTCTCAGTGTTTAAAAAGTGACAAATCATTTAGAAAAGCTCCAATGCAGCCTCCTTTGGGAGGGAGGAGGGAGCTGGAGGACAGTGTATAAAGTATAAACCAAAGATGGAAGGAGGTTAGGAGCTTCACCATATTACTGAAATAAACAGGGCTCTGCTAGGAAAGTAGATTTGGAGATATAAGACTGAGCAGGGCTCTCTATGGACTTCAGTGATTTGTAGAAAATATGGAAGAAACAGTCTTGAAAGGGGCAGCTCTCAGTCTTTACCAAGCTACACTCTTGCAAACTCTTGGAAAGGTACTCTCCTGGATGCTAGCAACTAAGCTGTTTGCAGGTTTTAACAGAGATGATTTACAAAGAAATTGGCAGGAAATTCCGCTCACATCCCCAGCAACCCCCCCTGCTGAAGTTATCCTCCCCCCAGGCAGGACTGTGCTTTCTTCCTTAAGTTTGATGGCAGTTCTAGAAGATATCTTGTTCCCCCTTCAGCAGCAGGGATAGATGGCATCACCCAGAACTTAAATGTGGACACTGTGTGGGTTTATAATGACCCTATAACAGCTGCAGATGCTTCTGAAGGAAGACCCACTCCCTTCTTGAGGGCCTAAGGACTGCCAACTGACTACACATTAGTTCCTTAGCTGTGGAAGGTGATTCTAGAAACACCATCAAGTGGGGCAAAGGCCAGGAAGAAGGGCCTTGCAGGGTTGCCCACCTATTTTCAGAGATTCCTGAACTATCTTCTTTGCTGAACTGCAACTTCAGATGGATCCCCCATTAGCTCAACCATACAGCTGGCAAATGGGTTAGCTAAGTTAGGTTTGGGAAGGGATTTTTTGTATGGTGCTGACACAAAGATTACTTAATTGCTTGGGACTTCTTTTTGTCCTTTTAGGCCTTTTTTGTACATCCACCCTTTTTTGGATACAAGTTACCATTTCTCAAAAAAAAAAGTTACCTTTTCCAAGATAAAGAAAGTATCCGCATCTTATAACCTTTGTCAGAAAGAACCAATGTATGCATCAAGCATCATAATAATCCATCCCCCAATGCAAAGAACAGAATAGATTAGTTGCAAAATCTGCAGGCTGTAGCATGTGGGGCCCATGCGAAATCAACAAGATAAGAGAGTCTGGAATGGGAGAAATCTGAAGAATAGTTTAACAAATCATTCTACATGAAACTCTCAGCATCTCCTCATGCAAATTTCCCTGCCTCAAAGGTTTGGAAATCTGCCGCCCCATCCAAGATTGCTTTTTTAGCCTGATTAGCTGCCCTGAAGAAATGCCTTGCCAGTGATAACTTATTGAGAGGAGTTGTGCCTGTGAATAGCAGTGGGTATGTTTTATGTGAAAGGTCTGAGGAATCAGTGAACCATATCTTTCTTCGTTGCAGTTTTTCTATGCATCTTTGGCATGGATCAGAAGCATCTTTGAAGTTGAGGGATGTTGGCTGGAGTCTGTGATTTTCTTTCTTCATATGGGCTGATAGGAATGCCCATATTTTTGAGAACTTAAGGATATCTGAACAGGATATGTTAAGGAATGTTGTTCTCATGGTTAGCTTCCTGTAATGATTTCCAAGGAAATCCTTATGAGAGTTTTTTTGCGGGGTCATAGGTTTTGTAGGTTCTTATGCATTTTGTGAATTCCCAGTGTATAATCCTCTGGTGTACATGGGGTTTTTTTTTTTTGTACTTTTCTTTGAAGTTCAATGAAATTCTATACTTTGCCCATTCAAAGAAAAAAAAAGGAATAGGTAGAATAGACTAATCAAGTCCTTGCATAAATGAATAGACACATTGAAATTAAATAACCTGAGTTTCTACAACTAACAGTTTAATCCTGATCAAGAGAAAGGTGGTTGATATGTGAGCATTTTATTTGTTTGTTTGTCTGTCTATTTTCCACCAAACTATTTTCCTGAATAAATGCCATATGACACAAAAGAAGTCCTTAGTAAAATAACTTGTAATAATTAGTTTGTATTAACTTCTATTTTGACTACTTGGGCTGTTATCTCTTTCCCTTTTTTTTTTTTTTTGAGGGGGCATGTCAGAACTTGGGATTGAATTTTACATATCTTAAATAATTTTTACTCTGAAGAAAAGAAAAGATGAAATTGCAGTAAATTCGTTTCCAGACAGTATCTGAGACTAACCGTCAAGGAATATCCTAATGGACTTTCTGTTTTAGTCAACCAAGCTCGTGAATCAATTAACACATTATCGCCTTAGATGGGTTTACCCATGGGCCTACTAACCTGGTTTCAGAAAATAAGTTAAAACAGTCTTGGGCATAAGACCATTATCCCAGTAATATGCATTTGAAATTACGAACGGTACTTTTAGGAACGCAATTCTCTTGAAAAAAAGACAATATCTTCCAAATATTTGATTCAGAATGAAAATACACTAATTGAATTCCTCTTTCAAGCGGTCTTATACATGTCTATTCATCGAACGAGAAGACAAAAGTTACAGTTGTTACAGCTTGGATCGATCATTTAAAGAGAAACCTTCGAATTTCAAACTAGTGAAAAAATAACTTGGGCAGATAAACCATAGCGGGAAATCAAAAGAAAGGCTTAAGAGAATTTATTACTAAGGCAATTGAAGCTAATTGAATGCCGCAGAAGTATTAGAGCCTGAAGAAAACAGAAGAAAGTTACTAAAATAAAATAAACAACGAGGCTTATAAGTAGAATTCAAAACTTGAAAGGAGAGAATATGTTTATAAGAAAAACTCACAGGCACGATTGTTGAGAGCGCAGCGATCTCAAGCATGGAAGTTCCAGTCAAATTACTTACGAATCTGACCGGGAAACAGTGAAATTTAAGAAAATGCAACTCTTGAACCAGCATATACACGAGATTCTTGAAGGAAGAAACAGTTGGAAAAAAAACTTACTCTTCCTTTAGTTGTTTGTTGGGATTGAAGGATTTCCGAAGAGGATCCATGGAAGCACGAAGCTCCGGCAAGAAGTGAGCGACAGAAATGGACAATTAACCGCGACTTAATTGTTAAGTCGCGTGCAGAAACCAAGATGCATGCGAGACAAAACGAGTGAGTGAGAGGGCTGGCGCGCCTGGCGCTAAAAAAAGAAAAAGAACAAGAAAAAAGAGAAGGGAACAGAAACAGCGAGAGATGGAAAATAGGAGACTAGCTCTAGCAGCGGAGAGAGGGATAGGGAGAGGGTAGCAGCAGGGGACCAGGCGACTGTCTTCGTAGAAGTAGAAAGACGAATACTGTGGGGAGAGAGATTGATGGAGAGATCCTTCGGGGAGATGGACCTGCCTGTCCGAATGAATTCGGTCTCTCCCGCCGCACCCACCCGCCCAACCAAAATAAAATGAAGATCAAAAAAACGGCTGAGACTGAGAGAGTAGAAAAAACACGGATCGATCGAATCGAATGTTACCGAGATCCAAATTTGATTTGTTAATATTCGGATTTTAACCGCATCATATATGTCGGATCCATATCGGATGAAAATCATATTCAGATTATTAAATCATAGGGTGGATTCGAGCCGAATAGCTAGTTATTCGAGTTCGACTCAGCAAGGCAATACGGTGATCGATCTCGAGCGAGTTCGGTTCGAATCAAAAGTTCATAAGTTTGAGTTTGATTTAATAAAAATGTTTTATAAAAATAAAAAATTATATATATAAAATATTTTTTATTTAATATTTAAAAGTTAAAAATTATAATAATTAGTTATTATTATATATATAAATAAAAATATTATATATATTATTTTCTATAATTTATTATTATTATTATTATTATTATTATTATTATTATTATTATTATTATATATTAAAACTGCTTCTTCCATGACAGCATAGCTCTCCTGGCAGGAAACCCCTCTTCTTAATTTTTTATTTTTTTGATTTTTTTATTTTTTTAATTCCACATAATTACCCATTAAACCAATAAGGAAATCACATATACCAAAAATTTCTAACAATCATAAAGCTTTTCTAATGTTTAGGCAAGTGGCACCACTTTCCCCCACTTCCTCCTAAATTGTCTCTAATTCCTATTTATCTCTTAAATTATATCTAACTCCTATTTATCTCTTAAATTATCTATAATTTAGTAGAGAGATTCTCTCCTAAACTATCTCTAATTCCTATATATCCTCTCCCTCACTTTTTATCTATATCTATCTAAAGAAAGTTTCAATTAAAAAAAAAAAATCAGAACTATTTAAATGTTATAACGAAATTATATACTAAATTTACAATATTTATTCAAAACACAAAAAATTCATAGATTTAATAATATTCATATTATTAATAATTCAGTATTTTTACAAAATTCATCATGAAATTATGTAGTAACAATAAAAATTATAATTTTATGAATTATTCAATTTAAATGTTATACAAATAATAAGAATTTAACATTAAAAATAAAACATTATTTAAATATTTCAATAACTAAAAATCTTAAATAAAAAACATTAAAAATAGCTAAATAATATAACAAAGTATTTAATATTACGCAATAACAATAAAATAAATAAAATTCAAATAATGAAATTTTTTAAATACTTTACATATTATTTAAATAAAAAAAATATTTAATATAAACAATTTTTAAATAGTTAAAATAACGAAGTTATGTAATAAATTTAAAAAAAATTCTTAAAAGTAGAAAAATAATTATAATAGAATACATAATATTCATATTAATAATAATTTAATATTTTACAAAATTAATAATGAATTATGTAATAATAGTACAATTATAATTTTATGGATTATTAAATTCAATAAATAATTAATATTTTAAGAAATTAAATAACAATATTATTTAAATAAGTAAATAATATTGTAAATACCTAATTTCACTTATATCAATTAATAATTATAGAAAATAACTATCGACAAAATTATATTTATTAGTAATAATTTTACAATAATAGTGTGTATATTGATTATATATTTATATTTACTATAATTAATATTTATTTTATTTTCAGTAATTATTTATTGTTTTTAATAAATATACTTTCAATAATTATTTTTAAATGTATTTTTTGTTATTTAATATAAAATTATCAATAATTATTGGAGATTAAAAAACTATTGTTTAACTTTTAAAATTTAATTTATCGTATTTATTGTATTTTTGTTATAAATTTATTTTTAGAAATTATATATTTTTTATAATTTATAGATTAATACTTATTAGAGATTAAACTATTATTTAAGATTACACTATTTATTGACTAAGTTAGTATATTTTCAGTATTTATTATATTTTTGTAATTATTGTATTTTTATTATATATCTATTATATTTTCATTATAAACTTATTTTCAATGATTGTATATGTTTGTTATAAATTTTCAATAACTATTGGAGATTAAACTATTATTATTTATTAGAGATTAGACTATAAATTTAGTTGAAATTAGGAGTGTTCAATGATTGGTTCAATTCAGTTGTAGGCTATTTTGCCAACCAAATCGATTTGGTCAAGTTCGTAGTTTGTCACTCGAAAATGGTTGACCATTAGCGAAAATCCACCAACTCGGGTTGTATCGATTTGGGTCTATTTTCGACTTAGTTTGTTTGTTCAAAAGATTTAAACTTAAAAAATTAACATTAGATTTCATAAATTACAATGATATTATTAAAAAATAAATTACAAAAATTAAATCTATGATATAAAATATTTTAGACTAACAAATATGAGAATTTTCCTACTTTCCTGTATTAAAAGTTAAATTTAAAATATAAAATATTAATATATATTTATTAAACCAAAGCCGATCTGAAATACTAGAAAACCAACTAAATCGGGTTTAGATTGATCATATTGTTTATTAAAAAGTTCAAATATAAAACAATTATATACTCTTATGTATTTCTATTGTTTAACTTTCGCTTAACAAAGCATGGGTCCCCGTCACCATACCTCTCCTTGCTCCATTATCCCCACCCTACATTCTCTTTAACTTTCTCTCCTCTCCCCTTCCCACCACTCCCATTAATCCATGTCACTCAACTACCTAAAAATATTCCTATAACCTCTCTCCTAAAATATCTCATTTATACCAATAGAAAAGTATCATGTTGCCCTACTCCCTAATGAATTCATAAAATGCATCTCCCCCAATCTATATCCACTCTCCCTCATTTAAAATATTCATATTAATTAATAAATAGTTAAATACGATTAATGTTTAATCCCACCCATATTCAATGAGTATTAAATAGTGTTATTACCAAAAGTTAATAAATGTGGTTAGTAAATTACCAAAAATTTATAAATATCGTTATTAATTAACTCATTAACAACATTTTATAGAAATTGAAAAATCTTTAACTAATTTCTATAAATTGAGAATTATATTTAGCAATTATCAACAAGTATAAAATTTTAGTTATTGTTATTATTATAATTAATAACCAAATACAAATAGGGGTACAGAATATTATAATGTTAGAAAATGAAACTATTAATTAATTTGTATTGAAAAGTAAAAGATAAATTAGGATAATTTTGTCAGTAAACTACCAAATAAAAATATATATTTAATATCAATTTAAAAAAAATTAAATAAATCACCATAGTTACACAAATGTAATAAATTTTTCAAAAATTTTCATAAAATAACATTTTTGAAATTAAAAGATATAAAKTATWTGAAAGTTTATWTAAAATGCAYTAAATAATTATTGAAAATTATTAGAATATTTTGGAAATTTTAGGAAAATTTATTACATTTGATAGATTTTGGAAAATCATTGAAAAATCATGTAATTTTCATTGCAAATTATTTGGGAAATGAAAAACTATAATTTAAACAAATAATTAAGATAAATTAATATAATATTGGAAAAAGGAAATTATTGGTTATTTTATATTACAAATTATAAGATAAATTAGTATAATTCTGTAATTAAATCATTTAAAAAGAAAATAAATTATTTAATAAAAATTTAAATAAATTTGAATAAATTTTCAAAATTACACAAGAACAATAAATTTTCCAAAATTTTCATAAAATTACATTTTTGAATATTAAAGACAATTCTTGCCCATGCCAAAGGGGCGACTGGGTCTCATGATGTGTCGAGGTCTTTTATCAGCTCGACACCTTAGCCCTTAGGCTCTGGGAGCGACTCGCGATCCACTCTCCTTATCCTTGATGTTGCCCATGCCAAAGAGGCGATTGGGTCTCATGTGGTGCCGAGGTCTTTTATCAAGTCGGCACCTTAGCCCTTAGGCTCTGGGAGCGACTCGCGGTCCACTCTCCTTAACATTATTTAGCCAATGTGTGGCCTAACCTTTCTACCTAAGCGAGTGGTCATTCTGTAGTAACTTCTCATATGACTGCTTCTACGTCATCCCATGGGATTTTCTTTCTGGGCGAGTGCTTGCGAGATTGCTGTGTACGTGTTCT